TCAAGAAGCTGCTGGAGGGCTGGTCCTTTGTCGTGGAACCTGCCACAGAAGTGTGGCCCCCACCTTGGGCGAGGGTGGGGGTACAGCAGGACTAGCTCTGTGCATCTCTTGCAGGACCTTACCCCTGGCAGCGTGGAGGAGGCGGAGGAGGCAGAGCCTGACGAGGAGTTCAAAGATGCTATTGAGGTTTGAGGCTGGTGGGGGTGGGCTGTGCCCGCAGCGCAGCTGTGGTAGGAAGGGGAGAGGGCCTTGACGGGCAAGCTGGGCTCTCGGGGAGGGTGAGTGTGGGGCTGGTTGCCTCTGACTTCATCTGCACTGCCTCTCCTCTCTGTCCCATGCTGCTGGAGAAGGAGAACCAGCTGCTGGTCATGGTGAGTACTACCATGGCAAGGTGTGCATGAGGGGCATCTCCTCCCAGCTGGAGCTGGCAGCCTTTGCTTGGTTTGCTGGTGGCTCGTGGTGATGCCAGGTGGAGCATCCTGCTTGTTGGGTGCCCATCTCTGGGGCGAGCTGCCCTGCAGCCCCTGACCACGCTCCCAGCCCCCCCTCTGCCTTCAGCTGGCTCTGTTCTCTGCAGGAGGATGACGAAAGCTCTCAGTGTTCAGCAGATTTTGACCTCAGCCTCCCGGACAATGGTTTTATGAGCAAAAATGAGGTCATCCGCAGCAAGGTGTCGCGCCTGACGGAGCGCCTGCGCAAGCGCTACCCCAGCAACAACTTTGGTAAGGCTGGAGTGGGTGCTGCCTGGGGGAGCCCAGCAGAGCTGGGTTTGTGCTGCTCCCAGTGGGGACCACTGAACTGGGAGCAGACAGAGTGGTGTGGTGCCTGCTAGGGCTGTGCTGCCACCTCCAACGACCTCTCTCCTCCATGGGAAGGATGTTCCCAGCTTTCCTGGGAAGGGCAGGGATGGGAGGGTGCAGTGTCGTGGTCTCCAGGCTGAGCCTTTGCAAGGGGCATGGGTGCTGCTGTGCCTCCCTCAGTCCCAGGCAGCAGAGCCCTGTCTGACTCCTGCTCTCTTTCTTGCAGGGAGCTGCACGGGCTGCGCAGCCACCTTCTCTGTGCTCAAGAAGAGGGTGAGTCTTCAGCTTCAGCCCCAGCTCGCTGCTTGCACCTGGGGCAGAGGTGTTGTGTGTCTGGCTCTCTCTGGCATTCTCTGGCAGCTCGAGTGGCTGGTCTTGGTCACAGCCCAGCAGCAGGTGACCTCAGCTACGTGCTGGGTGTTGCGTGCCTCATGGTGCCAGGGATCCCTCGTGCTGTGAAGCCTTTGTGCCTTTTGCTCTTTCGGAAGCTGCCTGAGGGCAGACCCCTGTGTGTTGGTGTGCAGTGTCCCAGTTTAGCCCATTTCTCATGGCCTGAGAGCTTTCTGGTGAAGCAGAGCGTGGGTCTGTTTGTGGGAACTAGGGGAGCAAAGGCCACCTCTGTTGTCCTGTCTGAGCCCCTGTGGGTGATGCCTGGCACTCTGTCCCCTGGGTAGTTCTGCAAAGGATGTCTGTCTTGCTCCCTCCAGACTCTCTTCCTGCTGCCTCTTGGTCTCCAGACTTGTGGCCTCCTCCCCTTCCTTCTGGGTTAGTCTGATATCTCTGGAGCTTACTTCCCTCCAGAGTTACAGCACAGGAAGTGATAGTGTCCTTAAACTTCCTGGAGCTTGTGCCCTGGTGCTTTCCTAGGCTGGGCACGGGCTGCCCGTGATGTTAGAGTCTGCAGATCCAGCACTGGGCCTGGGTGATGTGTCCAGGTGCTGGGGGCAGGTGGCCCATCTGCTACTGCTGGGGGGGCTTAGGGCCCGCACTCACTCCCCATCAGCAGGGACCACTGTGGGGTGTTCTGGCACTGAAGTTTGCTGGGGAGGGCTGGAGTGTGCACAGAGCAGTGTCTCACTTCCCTCTCTCTCTCTCTCTTCACAGCGGAGCTGCAGTAATTGTGGGAACAGCTTCTGCTCCAGGTGTTGCTCCTTCAAGGTCCCCAAGGCTGTGATGGGAGCCACGGGTGAGTGTGAAGGTGGAGGAGGAGGGGGGTCTCACTCCCACCTGTGCCATCTGCTGTGGGGATTTGCCCTGGTGCTGGTGGAGAGGGTTGGCAGGACCTGCCCCGCGCTGCCTGGCTGGGATCAGAGCAGTGAGGGGTTCGCAGCTCCGTGGCTGGGGTCCCTATCCCGTGGGTGAACGGTGTGGTGGGGAAGGGGAGCATCTCTGACACCTGCTTTCCTTTCCAGCCCCGGAGGCTCAGAGGGAGACGGTGTTCGTGTGTGCTCTGTGCAACCAGGTGCTCACCAAATGACTGAGAGAGGCCCAGCCAGCTCCTGGGGCCTGCACCGCCTGACGCCGGGACAGCGGGTGCCCTGCCCTTGCTGGATGGCAGCCTGGGCTGCTTGTTTCCTGGTGTGGTGTCACCCTGCCAGAGGACACCTCTGCTCACCGCTGCTCCTGCCAGCGCTCGGCTGGGGCAGAGCAGCCCTTGCCCTGCAGCATCTGCTGCACAGCTGGGTCCCTGCGGTGGAGCGTGACCCACAGCTGTGCCCCCGTCCCTGCAGCTGCTCCCTGGCACTCGCTGTGCCCTGCCACATACTTCCCCAGGCCCTGTGGTCTGGCTCAGTGATGGAGGAGCCATCCTTCCTACCTGTGGTCCTACCTCCACCTCCTGGGTGGGGCAGAACGGCCTCGGAGCTCTGTCCCTGTGTTTCCCAGCGCTGCGCTAGGTGACTGTATTTTTGGGATCAAGTCAGAGCTTTACTTGCATTCCCAGGAGATGTGGTCTTTGGTCCTGGCTCAGCTGAGACCCCGCTGGTTGCTCCTGTGCTCCTGGGGCACACTGCCTGCAGGCTGAGTCCTTTCCCCTCCGTATTTGGCTGTAGGGCAGAGGAGGCAGGAGGGTAAGTTTGGGCCGGGCTCTGTGGCCAGATCTCCAGCTGCAGCCTGAGGAGAGGCACAAACTGGTGCTGCTCCGTGCACTTAGTGACTGCTGCTTTCTAATACAGATTAATATATAAGTGTATATAGAGAATGACCAATAAATCTCTTGCCCTCAGCTGGCTCTTGTCTTGCCCAGGGGAAGCTGGCCCAGGTCACTGCTGTACTTCTGTGGCCGTGGAGGAAAGGGTGACTCTGCCACCAGCTCCCACCCCTTACTGGGGTTTCCATCTTCGGTCATCCTGTGGCTGTGTTTGCCTCCTGCTGAGGGCTGCCTGCCCCTGTGCCAGGGCTGGATGCTGCTGGGCTGCAGCCAGGGAGAAGCTCAGCTCTGGCAGGAGCTGCCGGGCTCCCCCTCTGCCCCCCGGGGCTGCTCCTTGCCCTGCCCTGCCCGCGGTGGTCCCGGCAGCTGCCTGTGCACACAAAGGTGACCTTTCCCTGTGCGAACAGCAAAGCTCCCAGCTATCCCAGGAATGTCACCCTGGCTGCTGTGCAGCTGGGCACGGCCCGGGCCTGGGTCCCTGCCATCCAGCTGCAGCTCCCCCCGCCGGGGGGGGTGGTGGTGCTCTTGGGCTGTCATTGCCCAGTGCCCACTTGGACCATGGCACCCACCACCTTGGGAGGGCACTGGGGGGCACAGGTCTGATGCTGACTGTACACCCCACCAGCGTGGGAGCTCCTGTGGGGCAGCCTGAGCCCTCCTCTCAGCTGTGGGCTCAAAAACCCCTTTCTCAAGCTGGGCCCTGCGGAAATTTGGGGGAGAAGCTGGACTGGACAGTGACGATGGGGGTGTCTGTTGTTGCTCCAGGACCAGGGGGTGTGTGGAGGGGCTGGCACGCAGGGGGCTCAGCGGGTACTGTGGGCAGTGGAGCAGCTGTAACGCTGGGGAGGGGGCTGCGTAGCACCCCAAGAGCCGTGGGGTGGTGGGTGAGGGTTTATCTGCAATGGGGTGACCCCTGGTGTGCGGGGGCTGGGGAGGGGGCTGAGCTGTGGAGCTCAGACGAGTGGCGGTGGGAGGCAGAAGAGGAATCACTTGTTTTTCCAGAGAAACCAGGGAGTGTGATGGCCGTGTGTGTCTGAGCGCTCCCTGGAAAGATGCTAATGACGCAAAACACAGAGGCTACAGATAAACTTGGGCTGAGGGAGATGGGGGTTTATTTGCGGACTTTAAGTTTTGCAGTAAAATGACATAATTGATGATGTTTACTCCTGTGGCAGCGCACTCAGCAGCCTCGCTCTCAACATTCCTTCTAACAATATTTGATATTTTTCCCCTAGTTTGTTTTTTTTTTTCCACATTGTCCAGGGTGGGGGCGGTGACTGCCTGCCTCCAGCGAGAGGCCGTGGCGGGGGCTGGCTGCCCCCTGGCCCTGGCTGCCTGTGGGGCAGGGGCACATTCCCCTGGCTGGAATGGGGTGCCCCTCTGGGAGGTTGGGGAGCAGCCAGTGGGGTCGAGGCCATGCCCAAGGGGGGGCAGAGGGAGCGGGGATCACCCTGGTGTGGGGCAGGTGCCTGGTGGCCTCCTCAGGTGGGAGGGGGGTGGGATGCGGGGCGTCCTGCAGCCTCAATTCCCACCTTGTCCCCGGAGGCTCCCCTGTGGTGGGGCCAGCTCTGGTGAGAAGCCGCAGCGTCGGGCACCAGGTGTTGGGTAAATATCCCCGTGGCTGCCTTCGTGCCTCCCTCACCCCTCGGGATGGGCGGGCGCAAGAATGTGCTGGGTAAACAGGGCCGCAGTGAGAGTGCGGTGGGGGGGCTGCCCCTCTCGCCTGCCCCTGGGGCAGAAGCAGCCTCTGCTGAGGGGCAGTGCCCTGCTGCCAGCAGAGGGTCCAGCCCCAGGGCTGCCCCTGGTACCGGTGCTGCTTGGGGGGGTTCCTGGCTGGTGCAGGTGGGTGTCCCCAGGGAACCTTTTGGGAGGAGGTTGGGGGCTGTGGGGTGGGAGGTCTGGCACCAGGCAGGGTTGGCTGGGGGCCGCAGACAGGGCTTTCAGGCGCGCAGAGGGGGGGTGCCCAGGGATGGAGGAAGGGATCCCGGCCCAGGGTTTGGCCCCCCCACTACGCTCAGGCTCCCCACATGCACTGCCACCTCCCAGCCTGCAGATCCGTCCCCCGGGGGTGATGGAGGGAGAAACCTGTCTGGCAAACACCCCCAGACCCAGCTGTGGGACTCCCGTGTCCCCCCCCATCCTCCTGACCTCGCCAGGCTCCCCAGCATGGCAGGGATGTCTGTGTCTCCAGCAATGCCTGTCACCACTGGGGACCTCCTCCCTCATCTTGGCCAGGCTGCCCGGCTCTGGGCACGGAGCCTGGAGCAGGGCTGGAGCCAGAGCCCAGGGTGACCCCACTCCCTTGGGTCACCCCACTTGGACTGGGTGTTCCCTCCCATCCTTCCTGGGGTCTCTGACTGGACCCCAAGGGGAGGTTGCCCATGAACCACAGGGATCTAGACACAGGCTTCTCTGAGGTGACGTACTTTACTGCGCTGTGGATGGGCAAAGGGTGCCTGGGCTGTGCCTTGGCGAGGGATGTGAGGGATGCAGCAGGGCTGGGCTGGGCTGGAGGGGCTGGGAAGTGGACACTGAGCCATCTGGGATGGGGAGGGTGGGAGAACCCAGACAGGGGCTGTGCTGCTCTGGTCTTGAGTGGGGCAGGAGAGACCTGCTTTGGCTGGGGTGGATCCCTGCAAAGGTGGGATAATCCAGGGCTGGGGTGAGGGTGTGGGATGCTTTGGGCTGGAGCAGGGAATGGAGGGGTCTGGGACAGGGGACACAGGGCAGGGGTCTCAGGTACAACCAAAGGGTCCCAAGAGGGCCAAGCAGGGATTCTAAGTGCATGCAAAGGTCCCTGGGGTGCTGGGCAGAGGGCTTGGGGGTAGCCAAGGGGATGCTCACAAGCATGCAGAGCAAGGGTCCTGGGTGCAGCCTGAGCTCCTGGGTGGGGGGAGGGATCCTTGGAGGAGAACAGAGGTCCCAGGGGTGAAGAGCAGAGCTCTTGGGACAGGGCAGGGGTCCTGGCTGTGGATCCAGGCTCCTGCGAATGTGTCTGGGAATGCTGGGAGCGCAGAGCAGGGTCCTGGGGCACAGTCAAGGGGCTGAGGGCAGCAGAGCTGGGGTCCTGGGGTACAACCAGGGATACAGCTGGGGTGCAGTGTCAGGCCAGTGCAGGAGTCCTGGGGCAGGGTGGGCAGAGCCCTAGTGCTGCCCGGCCCCATAGAGCAGGGGGTGGTAGAGGGGGCAAGGGTAGGAGAACATGAACTTGACGGCGAACTTCATCTCCTTGTTGTGCTTCTGCCAGGGGTAGATGGCGAGGAGCAGCAGGCGGCCGCCCACCTTGCGGCCCATCACCAGGAAGCTGCCGCTGAGGCTGTCGAGCTGGGGGCAGGGGCAGGCGCCCGCGTTCCTCATGTGCAGCACCATCTTCTTGGTGTCCTTGCGCTTGAGCGGGCCCAGCTTCAGCACCTTCTTCTTCTGGGCGGCCACCAGCCGCCGCTCCCCGTTCTCCTCTGTCATCTCCTTGATGCGCATCTTCACCACTGTGTGGGGCAGCCATGGGGCACAGTTGGGGAGGGGGTGACACTGCCCTGGGGTGCTGCTGGAGGGGGGGTGTGGGGTGTGGGCTTGGCACCTGTACAGGACAGGGTGCATCCTGGCCCTGGGGTGGGACCCAGAAGCAGGGTTTGTGGGGAATTTACTGTGTGGGGAGGGAAAGGGGCTGTTGGTGAGGGGTTCAGTGGAGACCCCCACTGACCCTCCCAAATGTCCTATTCTGCCTATCCCCCCACCCTTCTCCTTTGGTGCACCCATCCCATCCACACGTGGCTCACAGGGTCTCCCCTGAGGTTGTCCCTGCAAAGCCATGCCCTTCAGCCGCCCCTCGCCTGGGCTGTCTCCCGTGTCCCCCCCCATCCTCCTGACCTCGCCAGGCTCCCCAGCATGGCAGGGATGTCTGTGTCTCCAGCAATGCCTGTCACCACTGGGGACCTCCTCCCTCATCTTGGCCAGGCTGCCCGGCTCTGGGCACGGAGCCTGGAGCAGGGCTGGAGCCAGAGCCCAGGGTGACCCCACTCCCTTGGGTCACCCCACTTGGACTGGGTGTTCCCTCCCATCCTTCCTGGGGTCTCTGACTGGACCCCAAGGGGAGGTTGCCCATGAACCACAGGGATCTAGACACAGGCTTCTCTGAGGTGACGTACTTTACTGCGCTGTGGATGGGCAAAGGGTGCCTGGGCTGTGCCTTGGCGAGGGATGTGAGGGATGCAGCAGGGCTGGGCTGGGCTGGGCTGGAGGGGCTGGGAAGTGGACACTGAGCCATCTGGGATGGGGAGGGTGGGAGAACCCAGACAGGGGCTGTGCTGCTCTGGTCTTGAGTGGGGCAGGAGAGACCCTCTTTGGCTGGGGTATATCCCCGCGAAGGTGGGATAATCCAGGGCTGGGGTGAGGGTGTGGGATGCTTTGGGCTGGAGCAGGGAATGGAGGGGTCTAGGGCTGGGGACACAGGGCAGGGGTCTCGGGTGCAACCAAAGGGTCCCAAGAGGGCCAAGCAGGGATTCTAAGTGCATGCAAAGGTCCCTGGGGTGCTGGGCAGAGGGCTTGGGGGTAGCCAAGGGGATGCTCACAAGCATGCAGAGCAAGGGTCCTGGGTGCAGCCTTAGCTCCTGGGTGGGGGCAGGGATCCTTGGAGGAGAGCAGAGGTCCCGGGGGTGAAGAGCAGAGCTCTTGGGACAGGGCAGGGGTCCTGGCTGTGGATCCAGGCTCCTGCGAATGTGTCTGGGAATGCTGGGAGCGCAGAGCAGGGTCCTGGGGCACAGTCAAGGGGCTGAGGGCAGCAGAGCTGGGGTCCTGGGGTACAACCAGGGATACAGCTGGGGTGCAGTGTCAGGCCAGTGCAGGAGTCCTGGGGCAGGGTGGGCAGAGCCCTAGTGCTGCCCGGCCCCATAGAGCAGGGGGTGGTAGAGGGGGCAAGGGTAGGAGAACATGAACTTGACGGCGAACTTCATCTCCTTGTTGTGCTTCTGCCAGGGGTAGATGGCGAGGAGCAGCAGGCGGCCGCCCACCTTGCGGCCCATCACCAGGAAGCTGCCGCTGAGGCTGTCGAGCTGGGGGCAGGGGCAGGCGCCCGCGTTCCTCATGTGCAGCACCATCTTCTTGGTGTCCTTGCGCTTGAGCGGGCCCAGCTTCAGCACCTTCTTCTTCTGGGCGGCCACCAGCCGCCGCTCCCCGTTCTCCTCTGTCATCTCCTTGATGCGCATCTTCACCACTGTGTGGGGCAGCCATGGGGCACAGTTGGGGAGGGGGTGACACTGCCCTGGGGTGCTGCTGGAGGGGGGGTGTGGGGTGTGGGCTTGGCACCTGTACAGGACAGGGTGCATCCTGGCCCTGGGGTGGGACCCAGAAGCAGGGTTTGTGGGGAATTTACTGTGTGGGGAGGGAAAGGGGCTGTTGGTGAGGGGTTCAGTGGAGACCCCCACTGACCCTCCCAAATGTCCTATTCTGCCTATCCCCCCACCCTTCTCCTTTGGTGCACCCATCCCATCCACACGTGGCTCACAGGGTCTCCCCTGAGGTTGTCCCTGCAAAGCCATGCCCTTCAGCCGCCCCTCGCCTGGGCTGTCAGAGCTGGGGGAGGGCTGCCCCTTGCCCGGGGGGGAGCAGGAAGGGGACCCCAGCACTCACCGAAGTCACTGGAGCACATCTGCTCCATCATGCCGTCTGCCTTGTGCTCCATCTCGCACTGGGTGCAGATCTTGGACACTGTGGTGAGAGACCAGCCGCTGTCACAGCTCTGCTGCTGCCGCCTGTCACTCAGGCCAGCTCTGGGGGGACATGCTGGGGGAGTCCCAACACCCCCCCCTGCTCCCCGTATGGCTGTGTCAGGGTGATGCTGGGGACACAGATCACTTGGCTGCTGGCATCCCAGCACCCCCCTGGAGGAACGGCATGTGGGGACACCCCCCGTCCAGCTGCCAATGCTTTGGGGTGCAGCAGCAGCAGCAGTGAGGGTGGCCCCAGCCTGAAGGGTGTCACAGCCCTGATCCTGACTCCAGGCTGCCTTTGGGTGATGTCCCCTCTCCTGCCCGAGGGGACAGCCACCCCCTGACAGCAGCATGGGGTCGATACCCACAGGTGCAGGATGCTCTTTGCTGCTGGGATGAGGAGCCAGTGGGAGGAGAGGGACACAGCTCTGCCATGGGTCCCCCTGCAACTCCAACCTTGTCCCATGTCCACCCCCGGTGCTGCTCCTGTGCCTTCTCCCCTGTCCCGGGGTGGCTCTGTGCAGACAGCCGGGTGCCAGGCTCCCCAGACAGCAAGGGGTGCCCAACCAAAGCAACTGATGCTGCTGGTACTATGCCCATTCGTGTCCTGCTGCAGACAGAGGGTCCTTGGCCAGCGCCAGCACCCTAGGTCCTGCTTGGAGGGGTGCAGGGGCTCTGCAGGAGGACCCTGGCTGCACGGGGACATACTGCTGGCAGGTGCCATGTGTGTGTCCCCATCCCACTGCAGTTGCCCTTCCTCCTTACCTGGCGGTGGGGTGACCTTGCTGTTCCCAAACTGGACGGCGATGCAGAGCTCGTGGTCGGAGGGGAACTTGGCGCAGTGCAGCATCTCGGGCCAGGGGAAGCCGTAGGACTCCATGACGGGGGCGCAGGAGTCGCGCACCACCTCGCAGAGGGAGCGGCAGGGGTAGACGGGCCGGTCGAGGCAGACGGGGGCGAAGAGGGAGCAGAGGAAGAGCTGGGTGTCGGTGTGGCACTGCTTGGCTAGCAGGGGCACCCAGCTGCTGGCCTGCTGCTTGGCCTCGGCCAGGCTCTCGTGCTCCAGCAGGTTGGGCAGCCGCATGCGCTTGTAGCCCACGTCGCGACAGAGCTGCATGTCGGGGGGGATGTCGAGGCACTGCGGCTCCCGCCCGTAGAAGCGCCCGTGGGGCTGGCTCTCGGGCTGCCAGCCGTAGTACTCGTAGTGCTGCCCCTCGCCCGGGGACCCCGCCAGCGCCAGCGCCAGGGCCAG